TCTAAATTTAAATAAAGGCACTAAAAACTAGAATTTATTATACAAACACAATTAATTGTGTTCTAAATGATATTTAGACATACAGATACAAATACAATACAAAATTTGAAACGAATGTCAAACGATGCTGTCAATTTCTTTTCACAAAGACCTGTCACTTTTCACACAAAAATGTCACTTTACATTCGTGTTTTGCCTTGCCAATGAAAAGATTCATTTTCTAATCATTGATGCCAATATGAAATGTGACTTTTACATAGTGGTCGTAGAAAAAAGCTTTTTCAAAGTAGACAGAATAAGTTGAAAAAATTGTCTAAAAAATCGACTGATCTGTCCAAGTTGTGATAGCTGTCAGTATTTCAGTTGACGTGATCAAAATTTTATTTGAAACAAATTATACACTTTGTAGTTATTCTATTTAAAATCTTATTGAACTGCAATATTCATAGAGCCCGGAACAAGGAAGCAAAATTTAATTAGGTTATGTTATAGCGTTACACCAACAACTCTATCAATTAATATTAAGGTTGTATCTCCGACATTTCTAAACATGTTTGCAGCTTTAAACACAGCAAGCTTTTACTATTAGGGCTTATGCTCATTACGCTAGGAGTAATAACTTTGTCTAGTTATTATTTTAATTTTATGGTCCCGAGTCTCATGCTACGGATCCTTAATACTAGCCAATGCTAATGAAATTTCTAGAACAATATAAGATTATTTTTACAAAAGCTTCTCTGCGAGGTTGAATCACTATGGTTGCATATTATTAAAGAACGCTACATTAAAATTTTATAAAACAGAGTTTATTTTTATTATAATTATGTTTAGTATTTTTTATGCTGTAGTATATTTTAGAGCAAATCAACCGTAACATGACAGCCATATAAATGGTCTCATAGTTTCAAAATTTGTCATTCTCACGTGAAGACGAATAAATCATAAAATATATTTATATATTGTATACAAAATAAAACTATGGAATTCCATAACTTTTCTAATCATTATACCACATCGTCTACCACCTTAAAATTATATTAATTAAAGACTACAATTGAATATTATCATCAAACGGGTAAACTCTTTCTAAAATTGTCTAATTTTGTGAAATTAACCTGCACACAAATTTCGAAAGCGATTTTAAGTATAAGCGATTTTAAGTATAACCTTTAAATTAAATCACCATTCCACGCTTACGTTAACCGAAATAATTGGACTTTTAATTCTTTTAAAAGGACTAATTAATATTGAAAGTTTCCAGGGATTCTAAATTGGTCTGTTAATGAAATTTTTAAGCCGCTGCATTAAATTCAACGTTTTTAAGAGCAAAGATTAAACTGATTAAGTTAAGGGTTAACCGGTCACGCTCCAAATGATTTCCACCAATAATAAGCTTAATCTATAATTTTTTTTTCAATTCAACTAAATGAAGGTTTATTGATTCAATAAAGAAACTTTTAAAAGTTTAAAAATTTATTTATTCTTTTTAACTAACAATCAATTTTTGGGTGCAATGTGGTTTTAAGATTTAACCATTTGCTGAAAATAAGGAATGTTATCAATATTATCAAGTTTTGTAGTGAAATAATTGGTCAACGTTGACCAATAACGATCTCTATTTATGCTGACGCTTCTTCCTTCTTTATTTTTATTATTAATAATAATGATGGATGATGAATCCAATGGAGGCCCTTCATGCCACAATTCATACTGAACTAATTTTTTGCAAATTCTAAGAAGCATATTGCCTGTGAACTGGATTCACTCCAATAAAGGCAATTTTACCTAATAACGTGTACTTCGAGTACTTAAAATGTAACTAAACATAAATGACAGCAAATTTTGATTTTTGTAACATGGTCGCCATGTTTAATATCATCATTTACACTCAACAAAATTTTCACTAGTAATACCACTAGAGGTCAAATTATTTCCGGAAATTTTTTCGAGCTCATGAATATTTTGAAAATTATCCCAAATCGAAGACGAGGGATAATTTTCTAAAAATATTCATGAGGGAGAAAAAATTTCCGGATTTAATTTGACCTCGTGTGGTATTCGGCAAGAAAATTCCACACAAAATTGTGTTTAAATAATTAAAATTTATTTTTTGATTTAACTTGACCTCGACTTGATTATTTAGTTACCATGGCAACTAAGTCAACCCCAACCTAAAAGTTATTTCAGTTTTGAAGCTGTCAAGCGGCACGACGTAAAAAAATGTGAAATTGTCTGCTGTAATGATCAATCATCGTGCAATGACTTATTTACCCGCATTATTAGAGGATTGTGGCTCCTACTTGAAAAAAGAAAATTTGTTTTGAATTGTTCACGAATATTTGCATCTTAACTATTCAAAACTCAAAGTGCTAAATGGAAAAAAAAGGTGAATAGAATAGTGTCTAAATATTATATATATTTCATTAGACATAGACATTTAATTTATTTCAAGTCCTGCATTTTCGCCATTAAGAAGAAAGGAGGTGTCTAACGAATATAGAAAACAACTAAACTTTGTAATGGAAATGTATCAAAATTATTATGTAAACAAATAAAAACCAGATTGTCAAAAAAATATTCTGTCATTATAAACGTCAAAAAAATTTCCAGTATAATTCGCTGTTGGGTACCCACGAGGAAAAAATTTCCACTAAAATTCAACCGTTGCCATGGAGATCTATCAAAAATACACGTTTTGATTGGTTAAAAATTACAGGTGTGGAATTTTCAATATAATTAAAAACCCTTGTTATAGTATTAATTTTAATAACAATATAATTGTAAAGTCCCTTAGTAAGGTGACAAAAGGTTCTTACCTTTAAATTGCCACCCTAATAACATAATAGAAGTTTTATGTTAGTTTAATACCCTCAAAGACGTCGCGAAGTTAAGCACCGACTGAGCTTGTATTATGCAAGCAGTTTGGGAAGTTCATATGAGCGAGTCAGCTCACACTGTAATTTGTTGTAATGACAGACATTGACTGAAAATCCTTTCGCAGTGAAAAGCATCGTCATGCCTAACGGGAACTGCATAATTGTTGCCCTTTAGTTTACTAGTTTGTTATCGTTTATTTCACAGTAAACATTATGAGGATTAATTTTAAGGTCGACTCCACTTAGGTAAATGGCAAAGTTAAAAGTGTACCTACGACAAATAAGCTTAACTCCTAATGGTATTTTTATTTTAAAAGTAGATTTTATATTTGCATTATATTTATTTTAAATTACCAACTCTTATATTCTTTATCAACAAATTTTATTGCAATAGCTTGCCTTTTCATCCTTGGTAAAACGTAACATTTTTCTGACACAATAGTAATCGATAATACATTTGTTCAAAAGTTTATTTCCAGTTTTCCTGAATTAAAGAAAGCGGGACTGTCACAACCTGATAAAGATGATGATCCAAGAACTTCCTTGGTAAAAAAATCTAAAAATTGCCTCGTGACTTTTATATAGCTGTTCCAGTCTAAATTTTATATTCATTTGTTGTCGATACAATTATTCTTCTTCTTTCTTGGTGGCCAAAAGCCTTAATGGTCTCCGTTTCAAGGTACCATTAAGACCAGCAACAAGTTTTATCATCCATGCGTTTCATGAAGCCATCCACAGATAGATACGTGAAATTTTCAATTTTGGGACATCCACTAACCCTTTTGTACAAATCACAAAATACCTCGCTAAAAGGTCAAGGCTTCCGATATTGTCCAGAAATACAGGTATATTTCTATACCCGGATTTCAATTTTGTCCCTACTAGCCTAGAAGTACTAGGTCAAAAAGTCATCTATATTTATTTACTTTTCATCGAGACAATAGCACCAACAAAACCGAACTATGGCGATTAAGTTAAGCATATCTACACTGTTCAAAATTTCATGACCATTTTAACACCAAATTAACACCATACATGGTCTATATCGATACAAACCAAAATGGTGTTAAATATGGTTCGTTGGTCCGGTGTAAATTCAAATACTACAATGGTGTTAATTTAACTTTCACACAGTATTAAAATAAATTTTACCTGGTGTAAATCGAACTCCTTTTCAGTGTTAAATATTATGTGTTTGTGGTCAAATTAAATCATACTACACAGAAAAAAGGAAAAAAAAGGAAACAGGAAGTTTCTTGACGCATTACTAGTATATTACCAGTGGTATTATTCCAGAAAATGGAACCTTCAACTCGCTGTTTTTAGTGCGTTCCACTAACTTAAAATACTTCAAGTATTGACAGCTGTTTCCACCTATTTAAGGTCTCTTTAGTATCGAACAACTTGTAGTGTCACACCAAAGCAAAGGACTACCTGAGTTTATATATTCTTCATGTAAGTCAACAGAGGCGAGATTTAAGAACATCACGTGATCCACACCGCCTTTGCCGCGATCGGTACACATTTTCAACCATAATTCATGGTGTTATATTAACACCACTTGGTGTTGGATTTTGACACCATTTTAAGATTACTTTTTACACCACAACAGTGTAGCTTGCGCTTTTTGTGCGATGTGTTCTATTATGTATTCCTTATTTTCTTGTTTTTTTTTATTTCCTTACTTTTTAGTATGTACATGTAGAAGTATAGGTTTTGACTTCCAGAGTAGGTTCTTTTTGTATGCTGGATAATGTAAATATTAACCACATTTTATGTTAATCCTGGTCCACATAACTTTAGTTTACAACCATAGTTGCAACGGTAATCTCTTAACTAATTAAACAAAATGATGTCAATAATTCAAAAACCTTGGAAAAATTTGTTAACAAGGATATTGGACGTTAATTGGAAATTTGTGCTTTCTCTCCTTTCTTAAATACTGGAATTACTTTTGCTATTTTCCATCTGTAAGGAAAGCTACAGATGGAAATGCATATAATTATGGATAATGGTTTGGCAAGAGCGAACCTACACCCTCTTATAAAAAGCTGTCATTAATAAATAAATTTGATTCCAAAACAAACAAAATATATTTATTACATTGTAAAGTAACATTTATTATTAAACTTCTCTTTGCTTCCTCAGTTGCTTTACTTCATCAGCACACTTCTGTGTAATAGCTTGCCTCACCAGTCTTGGTAAAACATCGCATTTTTCTGCTACGAAAGTAACAATGTCTTCGATAATAGATTTGTTTAAAGGTTTTTTTATAGTTTTGCCGTCATTAAAGTAAGCGGGACTGGGACGACCCGACAAAGAAGATGATGCAAGAACTTTCTTGGAAAAAAATATATCTAACAATCGCCTCGTAGTTTTAGTATAGCTGCCCAAGTCCATGGAGTTGTATTCGTTCTTTGATAGAGTTGTACCATTGTAACCCAGGGCGATTATGTTAAATGGATCTAGCTTGCGCTTTTTGGCGATGTGTTCTATAAGGTCTTCTTCGTCTTCTTGTTGCTCGGTGGCCTCTATGTTTTTTGGTATATACAGTAGTCTAGGTTGATCTATTTCTTCAATTGGTATTTTGACTTCTAGGGTAGGTTCTTTTTCAATGCTGGGTGATGCAATAGGTTCCTCTAAAACTATATCATCGTTGTTTTCTAAAGAACATGGTTGATCTATTTCTTCAATTGGTATTTTGACTTCTAGGGTAGGTTCTTTTTCTATGCTGGGTGATGCAATAGGTTCCTCTAAATCTTTGTTTTCTAAAGGTTCTTCCAAATACTCTGGTTCCTCAGCAATAACTTCCTCATCATGAGGTTCTTCATGACCCCTTAGATGATGATTATTATTAACAACAATTAGTAAATTGCCACCGTCACTGTCATAGTCAGAATCATTAGACACTGTTTCCTGCTCTTCAAAATTTTCGTCTCCATGTAATAATCTCTCAGCTTCGTCTAAAATCGCCTTGGAATTATTATCGTATTGCAGCTGAAAGTACCTCAAACTCGTCAAATTATTCTGTATCGTCTCTTCCATACATTTTATGTACTCCATCACGTAGGATTGTTCTTGTTGCATTTTTTCTAGGAGATATCTTAAAACTTGGTGGCTCATATTGGTTGAATTAGTTTGTTGGTTATTGAAAGTAAGTTTGTAAGTGATTATTTTCAAAAAGGATTTGGTATTTATTTGTTAAAATTATGCCTACAAAATGATTTCTACCTACATGTTTATGAAATAAAAATAATATTTTTTGAGGTATAAGATTTAAAACGGAGGATTTAAAATCAATGGGATTAAATCTTACGTGCAATGAAGTAGGTAAAAATTTTATTAAAACGTATTTTAATTCATTTTAAATTTTGTTCTTAACTTTCTGCATCTAATTTTAAGGAAAGGGGTATCGAGTAATACATTTTAAAGTTCTTTAACTTTACTTTATAAATTGTTTAAGTTGTTCTTTTTTGTTTTTAATAATATAACAATCTTATATAAGATAATAAATAATAAGATATTTTAAATATTCTTTAAAAAATCGGGTTAAATAACATTAACGTTGTTTTGTTTTGTTTTGTTTTATAATTTTCTACGCTCCTCGAAATTTATTTAACTTTTTTATAAAATTACTTTTAGTAGATAATATATACATATTTAGTGTTAGTCCAAGAAATTTTATTAATTTATTAATAAAAATGGTATACACTTTGGCTGTTAAAATTGTGCTAATTTATGGAGCCTAGTTAAGCCACATCCCATATGTATGTCCTAAATTTGTTTGCCAAATATAAAATCAAAATTTGCCAAGAGTTACGTGAAGATGATTTTGATAAAAGAGTACAGTTCTATGAAATAATGTCGGAAATGTTTAATTGTCATAACTTATTTTTAAAAAACAATTGTTTTACTAATTAATGTACTTTCATTTAAACGGGTTTGTAAATAAACATAAATGAAGATATTAAAGCTTTAGTTACCGAGTATCCAGAAAAAATACTATATGGAAAGGTATTTAAGGAACCAAGTAGAGTAAAGAAATATAGTTTGATATTTTAAAAAAAACTTAATCCATCCGTTGATGGAGACAATTAATGTCCAAATAAATGGAGTGGACGGCTAAATCACACGATTTATCACCACTATATTTTTTTTAATGCATTATAATATTTAAAAAAAACAATAAAAACAACCTATACAATTCATTCTAAAACATCTCAAAAATAAACAGACCGATTTATAGAGATTTTAAAGACCTTAAAAATGATGTATTACTCCTGGGTAAGGGGGTAAGGTTGGGTGACCAAATTTGTTCTATTATGCCTTATTACAAGAGATTGGATTTAAGGTTGCAAAATTTATGAAAATATTTATAAACGAGTTGCATACTACACTTTTTCTTCGACAAATACTTATAATTATCTAAAAATTATTTAAATTAAATATTCGTATAGAGCGACATCTATACAAATATAGAGAAACCGTAAGAAAGGAAATCTGTATTATCGAATTATATCAAATTTGTATGTGTAAATCGAAATGTAAAAATTAGCTAACAACAGTTTTTCATAGTGAAAGTGAAGAAAATGTTTTATGGGCACTCCACCGTCTTTACCCAAAAATTAACGAAAATTAAAAAGTCATATAAACTTTTCAAATATTGTCGTTAGATACTATTTAATACTTTTGTATTGAGATAATGTTTACATTAAATATTATTTTACAAGATGGGCACTTTATTTTAACGTCAACTGTCAACCAACTTCAGCCCGTGACTAAAGCCACTTGTCAATGTGTATTTAAAAGGTCACTTAGTGTCAATAAATATGATAAAAAATGATACAAAAAACATGTTATGTTAAATCACACTATATTAGGCAGTAAAACTTAAAAATTAGGTCCATTTCTCTTTAAAATTAAAATTTAAGTAAAATAAGTGAAATAAAATTAGGCTCAAATGAAATAATTTTCTTCAAAACGGATTTTATTCCATTGCACATAATGTTATGATTAGCGTAGATAAATAGTTAATAATACTAAAATCCCATCTCTAATTACTCTATATAATAATAAAAAGGAATAAAAACAACCAAAACCATTCTTATGTTTTTTATTAGTAATATTGTGCTTAGCTCCTAAGAATTGTAGTTCTTTAAAACGAATCAATTGATTTAATCTTTAACGGCTACGGTAAAAAATTTCCCTTAACAGCTGGCGCGCTACAAAGTGGTCTCGCAGACCTATCGTTAAAATATATATATAGTTTATTTTAAAAAGTGTCATTATATTTGAAATAGGCTTTTAATAATAATATTTTTCAATTACAAAAGTAAAATAGGAAATACAAAAACTTACCTAACCGCTACGCTGAGGTCTAGTAGACCACGCTCGACTTTTAGGGCGACATAAAAAGACACTTATTACTCCACCCACTTTGCTGAGTAACTAATGTGTGAGATATATATTTACGGAAAGGTATACGGAACCACAATCTTTCACTAACAAATATAAACAAAATAATAGAAACTATATGTCTCATTGTCTGGCAGAACGTTAGATGTTAAAAAAGAATACACCAATCTGTAGGGATTTCAAAGATCTTTAAAATGATATTACTTCTATTCAAATTATTAAGGGGGTAGCTTCCGGGCGCAGGGGGTAAGGGTGGGAAACCAAATTTTGCCATGAAAAATGGTCCCCATCGATATAAAACTTTACGTATCTTGGCGTTTTTTCAAAAACCTGTCAGTTTCCGAGAAATTTAGGGTTGTAAGTTTTAAAATGTATACATTTTTTATCAATTCGCTGGTTTGGTGCAAGACTATCCTAAGTCCATTTTCAAAGAATTGAAGAAAAACACTATTGAACATTTCTATTTATTGTAACTAAATTGTTTTTTGCGCCATTCTTTTAAAAATTGGAAGGTTTTACATCTAAAGATAAATAAATACATATTATGCAAAAAAAATTAGTTACAATATATAAAAGTGTTTTTCTCCAATTATTTGAAAATGTACTTAGAATAGTCTTGCACCAAACCAGCGAATTGTTTTCATACTAAATCATTTGTAACCTTATAAGGGTCATGAAAAATCAGGGTATAATAAAAATCATAAATAATAAAATAAGTTTTCTGATTATGTCGTAACTATCTTTGCGAAACAAAAATTGCCAGTTCCTGCCCGGCAACTTAATTCGCAATAAAAAGCGAAACTTTTCCCACGGCGCGCCGGACATATTTTTTATCACATCCGCACCGAGTAGATGACGGTAATAACGAAGTGTTCGCCGCGTCACTCATCTTCCATCCTGATGCAAGGTACGTGCACGTAATATGGTCATCCTAAAGAAACGTATAAAAACCGAAGGGTTTATCAAAATATTTTTCTTAGATCTAAGATTAGTCACCTGTGTATATGAGGTATGTTCAGAAAATAATGGGAATTGTTAATTTTCGCGGGTACAGAGGGTCCGGTTGTCATAAAATTTTCTTTATTATATTGGTATACATGCCCCCGAAGTATGATAAAAACTTTAGCTGTTTTCATCGTTTACTTTGTCTGTGACAGCCGCTAAGGTAAGACGTGTTTTATGAGCTCGGCGATTTTCGTTCGTTAAAAGAAATGGATCAAAGAAATTTGTATCCAATTTTGCTTAAAAAATTAAATAAATTTTGAGAAATGTTAACAAAGGCCTATAGTGAGTCTGCTATAAGTCAAACAAGAGTTTACAAGTGGTATAAGAGTTTCCAAGATGGCCGTGAAGACGTTGAAGATGACGAACGTACAAGCACATTAACAACCGATAAAAACATGGAAAAAGTGGAAGAAATGGTTATAAACCATCAGAGAAGTCGCTGATGATGTTGGTATATTAATTGGCTCATCTCATGAAATTTTTTCGAATGTTTTGGGTATGAAACGCGTGGCAGAAAAATTTGTTCCAAAATTGTTAAATTTTGAACAAAATTTTTGTCCAAAAACAATACTGTAATGATGCCCCAGGCTCCATATTCGCCAGACATGCCTCTGACTTTTTCCTATTCCAAAAAATAAAGAGAACCTTAAAGGGCCGTCGTTTTGCAAGTATAGATGACATTAAAAGCGCATCGCTGAAAGAACTAAAGGCTATCCCAAAGAGTTTTAGAAGTGTTTCGAGTATTGGAAGAAGAGCTGGTACATGTGCATAATGTCCAAAGGGGACTAGTTTAAAGGCGACAATATTAATGTAGACGAATAAATAAATATACATACATGTAGATGTTATATTATCCTAAAATTCTACAAGCTAAAATAGCGACAGAGCTGGCCATCTTACATTCACCTACCTTATTCAGTTGTCGTCTGTTATCTAGTGGGCGGATGGAATGGCAAAGACAAAAGGCGATCTGAGCACTGGAGATGTCACGTGCTACTAGTTATTGCAGGACTGTCTGCAGGCACGTGATGCTTGGGCCAAATGAGCACTTGCCGCGTTCCTGAGACCTTTCACTCTGGACGTCCGCAAGATGAAGACCCTTAGGACTGTCTTTACAAATAATCATTATTACTGCAGGAACGTTTCATATAATAAATAATTGACGTAACGTTTTTACGATCCCTGCTGAACAAGCAGAACTAATGAAAAATTGATGTGTCCTAATTTCAGAGATCCACCGTTTTAAAGGGAAATTTGTAGGTTTAAAGTTAACCAAAAAAAGCACTTAAAACTTTAATTTTTAATTGAATTAAAATATGTATTGACAGATTTATTTAAATTTTTAGGACACATTTTCCGTTATCCTTCATGTATCCAGGATTACAAATACAGAAGTTGGGAGCGGAACATTGACCATTGGGGCACCCATCTGGACAATGGGCGACGCATTTGTTGAAATCCGCACCTAAAAATAAAAATAAAAGCAAAAGTTACCTGGATTATAAAAATAAACAGAAAAATACTGTGTACTAGGGTTTTCCACTTTTACTCATTTATTAGTTTTGTTAAACGCTGAAGTGGAATTATGTGTGTATTTACTAGAAAAGTCACCATGAAATTTTTCAGACTATAAAAAAATACTAAGGGGTCGCTAAACCATTTTTTATGAGGCTAAAGCTCTGGTTTTTTTAAATAAATTACTACTGCAAACCATTATTTTACTAAAAAACATTTGCGTTTTTTAAACAAAATATAGAAATGGTATAATTTTTAAAGATTTAAAGAGTGAAAAAAATTGCTGAAATATGGCGAAACTTGCAGTAAATATTGTCCTTTTAATAACATAGAATACCACGTTTCGATATTTTTTTACATTTTTATATAGACTATTTTTATTATTTAAAAATAAAACTGACCTTAAATTTACAAAAACAAAAAATTTTAAATAATACGTGGTGTCAAAAAAATGCATGGGGATATTTTAAGTATACAAAATAGTTATTTATGTATCAAGGCAGTAAAGTCGTATTTTTATCACGAATGTGGAAATGACTAATGCCGAGGTGCATATTAAATTTTATCCGAAATCAAATTTAATAATACTAATTACTGCCAATTTCGGATAAATTATTTTTTTAACGCTTATCATTTTTCAAAAGCTATTGAAAAATTGAATTTAATCCTTTTATAAATAGGTATATAATATTCGGAGTGTCTTTTAACTGTAACAACAGTCACCGTTGAAAATTATGAAATTAACGTATTGGCAGGCGTTGAAGCTAATCCTCTTGCAAGCACAGGAGAATTATCTTGGTATTCGAAGTGTTATCAGAATATTAAAACGAAATAAATACCACCCTTCCATATTTCGTTACATCAGGAGCTTCATGGTTTGGATGTTCAAAATCGGGTAATTTTATGTCACCTGATATTATTGTGCCGGATTTATTTTTGTGGGGCTATCTCAAAGACCGTTTGTATCAACAAATACCAACAACCCGTAAAAATAAGATTGAGCGCCATCAATTACAAATATGAAAAAATGTTTTAGACAAAATCTACCTATTTTAAGTCAAATGATCCGAATCTGCAATTAAAAATAGGAACACCATTGGAAATTTTAGTTACCCCATGTCCTCCCTCGAATTATGTAATGGGCGATTCCATGATTACTAACGGGACAAAAAAAAAAGAAGACAAAATGTTTTATGAATATTTTTAAAGTTGTGTTGTTCCTATAGCAATAATTTTATAATAGTTATTATAACTTTTTGCAGAGAACTACCATAAAGGTATTATTATAGAAACAACACATCTTCTAAAATCTAACAAAACATTTTGTTTTCTTTTTGTTGGTCCCGTTAGTAATCATGAAATCGCCCTAATTTTTATTTTAATTTTTTTTTTCATAAAATGCCCATTTACTGAGATATTTTAAAGTTTCAATTTACCCCCCTGTATACTATTTTTTTAAGGGGTTTAATAATTTTGTACTTGCTTACAACAAAATTCCCAAGTTTGGCACATTTTTTCATAGGCTTGATATTGTAGTTTATGTGAATGAATTTATTTTAAAGTGATCTGTAATTTTTAGTTATCTACAATGTTTTTGAGAAAGATGCGATAGACTCTTTCTATGTAATTTCAATGCATTTTTATTATTTTATGGCAAATGACTTTTGATATGCGCACAAAAATTAAGTCTTTCTATATATGGGTGATTCTACAAAAGTTGGACAACTTGATGTCATCAGTCAATAGAGTAGGTATTTTAATATTTTTTGTAAATATTTTAGTATATTACAAAAGATCCAGGTTTTTTTAACTTCTCCACCCAACTTTAATGTATTTTTTCAAAAGCATGTTTTAGAAAAACATAATAAATATTCAAAACATCAGTACCTTGGCGTGTCACAACTCCTGAATCAAATATTTGAGTGATTTTATTTTAAAATATATTCAATTTATCTTACATTTTTCAATTTCACTACAAACTATAAAACATTAAATAATGTATTTTTCATATTTTATCATAGATTCGAATAATAGCAATTTTTTAAAAATTGATAATCTTTGTAGGTACTCACTTTTACCCGTCAGTTCTGTGTCCAATGTTAAAATTTAAAATTCCTGCGAAATATTGAAGTTTAAACGTTGTCCTCGTTTTAACTCAAGTGTTGGTAAAAAATTACCTACAGAGCCCGCCCTTTGCACGACAGTTATCTTGGAAAAAATGCAAGCGGCGAAGTTGTGGTGAATGCACGTATAGTTCCAGTCAAAATGTCAGTACTGTGGTGAGTAGTTGTTTTCTTACGTATATATATTTCGTTGTAATTTATATAAGGCTATAGCCTATATATATATATATATATATATATATATATGATTTGTTGATAAGTAGCATCCACTAATAAAAAGTATGAGTAAAATACTTAATTCCGAATTATAATCTCAAATTTGTATCCCATTCATCAGTACCGTGTCGTCAGTTTCATGTTCGATGTTTCGTTTATTTTTTTTTCGCAAACTTCAATTTAAATTCTGCTTGCGAAGAACTTTTTTATTTATTGTCATTATAAACTCATATAAATTTGGCGGGGGTCCCATATCTAATAATTGAGATATCGGTATACCCAAAATTCACCAGCCGCCACTGATGTGTGGTATTATTTGATTTTAAGATATTTAATGTATAATATGCTCAAAGTTGCAATAAATCTTATATTTTCCAATAAATTATGTATTTAATTAGTACCCTGGTATACTCTTCACTTCCCTTGCATTCAAATTTAGAAAACACAGATATTTCAGAAACTGTTTGAAACAGTGACTGGCCCGGTCTGGAACAGTATATATATTATATTATCTATGTTCTCATAACAAAATACTGTTTAATTTTCTACGAAAACTATATAAACAAAATGAGGTCAAAAGTTGCCCAACTTTTGTAGAATCACCCATATGCCTATATGTTATAATACAAAAGTTGTTATATACTAGAAAAAAAAACGTTTATTAAGAAGAGCTTAATTTACTGCAGTATATCGTATATAGACAAATAGTTTGTCTCTTGTTTTCTATTTGTTTGTACAATCTTGTTTATATTTCTAATAAAATTGATCCTACTTACTGGCGGGTTCCTTAACATATCCTTTTTTGCAGGAGCATACATCAGGAGCAGTGCAGTCAGCATTTAAACAAGGTTTATTGCAATGTGGCTCACACACCGACCCAGTTTTGTCCAAGTTCCAACCTGCAACGAGAAACAAATTAGGTTTCGTTGATTTTAACAAACCCAATTTAAAATAGATTTGTCCTTGTCATGTTGCGAAATATTAAACTGGTCAAATTACATTTGTGCAAGGCTTTACGGACGTGCAGTAAATGAAATTTTTCCTTTTAGCTCTTTGAAACCCACATGGAAATAAGAAAAGTATGTTAAATATTGCTACGCCAATTTATGTTTGGAATTCCATATTATGAAATCATATTAAGCTGGAGAAAACATTATACATTGTATTTTTTAAGGTAACATACAGTTTAATAATGGTTTCTTTCACTTACCTTGTTTACAAGAACATTTGTTTGGGGCTACACACTCGCCATCCTTACATCCCTTAGGACAGTCGGGCTTACAAGTGCCATCAACATTGATATATCCAGATTTGCAGGAACACGTGTTAGGGGCTATGCACTGACCTTCTCCACAGCCACCCTCGCAATGAAAGCCACACTGATTTGTAGCAGGATTTACTGAATAACTAAAATATAAAAAAAACTGTCTTGAAAAAAGGAGCATCAGGATACGTTCAGAAATTGTTCTATCTATTTTGCGTTCATAATGACTTCATTATAATACCTCTTTCGGTGCTGTAATGAGATACTTTATCCCACCCAAAATTTTGATTTTATGCATAATATTTTGCATATTCGTTATAATATTTTTACTGATTTTTCTAGTGCCTACTTACGAGACTTTTCTGGCAATAAATTTTGTTTAACACCAAAGAAAATCCTTTTTTTCTTCCTTAACATTAACAGCCGCTTATTGTAAATAATAATAATAAGGACGGCATGGCGAATCCATTTTGACATTAACTGTCAAAACAATGACTGTGATACCAACTATCTAAAGTAAAATTCGACCAAATTAAATTTAAGGAATAAAATTAATTTTTTTTTAAGAATTTTTGAAAAATAAATAAAATAGCGTAAAGAACTCATGTCATAAGACCTTTTGTCGCACTCGTCCACTACAAAACTCCTTCGTCGCTCGTTTTATAAATTGTCCGCTTGCAACAAAATGACGTCTTATGACATTAGTTTTTTAATATACTATTTAATTGCTTTTTAAAAATATATAACCCAAAATAGTATATTATGTATCAAGTTTTATAAACGCCATTTTAGTTACGAGTTTAATTAAGCACGAGCGAAGCTTGCGAGCGAGTGTTTAATAAAAACGAGTTTCTAGAGAAGTTTATAAACGAGTTGCATACTATACTTTATCTACGACGAACACAAAACAGAATTTAAAGGCAATTTTATTTGTTAAAATTTTGACATCTGTCAACTGTCACCCGAATTTAACCTCACTTTTTCCCAATTTATAATAAAGCTAACTTCAGCCCGTGACGTAAAATGTCGAAAAGCCACTGTTATTAACTTCAGCCCGTCAATAAAACGCCATAAAGTGACAGCTCGTCAATGTAGGAGTAGATAAAAAACATTAAAATGTTTGTACCTTATTAAACGTTATTTATGTCATGAGGCCAAAAAGTGAGTCTTTTTGTGCTGATCTCAAATGTTTGAATTGTAGGATTATAAATATTTTTAGGGGTTTGGTTGGTAAATACTGAACCAAAATTGGTTGCATTGATTAAAACAAACTAAAGTAGTTATAAATGTAATTATAGGTACTGTAATTGTGGCTATGTAGGTTACATTGAATGGTTGTCAAGTTGAGTCAAGTTTACTAGATACAATTCGTAGTTAAAAATAATTTAATTGGCTTTGGTGGTGCGTATATAAGTAAAATCATATAAAAAGTAGTTAAATATAGGTGACTACGGCCCAGGAGAGACAAAGTATCCTAGATTTGAAAAGAATTTATATAAAAGAAATAAAATTTTTATTTGAACACACGTAAATCATTGGACTTGAATGGTGACACAAATTAACAAAAATTTAAAAATTCAAATGTCGAAAACCTTACCATAAAATAATTCATAGTGCCCAAAATAGAGAAAAAAATAGTGGCATCAAATGTAATTTTTTGCTGTAAACCATTGTTACTAATTACTAGCCCATAATAATAATTTTTGACGAAAATAAAGTTTAAATTAATCATACCATTTTGGTGCCCCTTTAAAATAATAATCTTTAATTGTGTCCATTTTGCATTTTTGTTGTAATTTATTTAGATTGTTAGCGTAATTAAATGAAAAAAACGATAATAAAATGCATTTCTGCGAACAAAATAAAGGTCTGCCATTTAAAACAATGCACAATACAATTTTCGAGCTCCAACACTTTTTTTACGTTGCATTCGTAGTTTTAAATGTCAAAAAGCAACAGGCAATTATTTTGCGTTCCGATAACGTCAGTTCCTGTAAAAACGTTTACTTTTATCAGTAATTTTCCTGGAAAAAAACAAAAGGCCTTAGCACCTATATGATTTAAAGCAGATTTAGCGTTTATTTGTTTTTTACGTACAATCTGTTTTTGCAGTTATGTTTTTTAGCTTTGATTATATATTTTTTAATCGTATTAAATTACGAAATGATTAAATAATTAATAATAATTATTAAATGACAATTAAAAGAAGACAAAATAAAATAAAATATCGAAATCTAAAATTACGATTATTTCAAATAACCAGAAACTTAAACAACGAAAAATGACAACAACCTTAAATTTCGATATGCCATTATATCTAACGGCATCGGTGTTTTGCAACGCGCGCGCCATCTTGTGGTATTGAACTACAACGTCTGTCAACAATATATTTAACGCACTCTAAAAATGAATTAGTCAAAAATGACTAATTTTATAGTTATTAGTGGCTGCTTTTGCACTTGTACCATGGTTAACCATGAAATACCATGGTATCCCAAAATTTTTTTTAAGTAAAATTATCCCCTGATTTAGAAAATACCGTCAAAAATTATGAAAGTGGAACAGTTTTAGAGATATAGTCAATTCCATATTAAATGGAAAATTGACTATATCTCAAAAACTGTTTTACTTTTTTAACTTTTGACCACATTTTCAGATTCAGGGGACAATTTTACATAAGAATTTTGGGATACCATGGTATTCTATGGTTAACCATGGTATATATATAATATACCCGTTTTCAGTCCTTTACCGTTGAGTGGAGACTTTCTTAATCCAAACTTTTTATAATGCATAATGCTGTTTGAATTTAGACGACGTATTTGTTTTTATGATTTTTACTGAATTGAAATGTTAACAATTTTTAAGTAAACCTTGACTAAAATGTGTATTTATTATATCCAATAGGTACAATTTATATTTACAGGGACTGTATTAGATGTATTTCTTCATTCGGATTTCCACTGTTTATTGCGAAACCGGTAAAAACTTAACCTAGGATTTCTTCTCGAAAAACAGTTTTTTCCGATGTTTTTTTAATTTCCCGGCCTTATTCTCAAAAATACTCGTTTGTAACATACAGCTAATTATTAAAAGTTGTAGTTTTGTTACGATAATAACGGCCTGTGTTTATATAACGAAAAGCTGGCAATTCTAAATGACGACAAGCTTAAATATCGAAAATTAAATATTGTCAAGCTAAAATTACAATAATAAATGTAGAAAAAAAAGAAGTTTAAATATATATTTTAATATAATAATATAATATTAAATACTTGCAATTTTTTTCTACATTTTATAGGAAGAATAAACAATGAGCAAGGTATTTTTTAAATCAATTTTAAGCAATAAAAAAAAATAAAAATAAAAAATATATGAAAAACAATCTAAATTGTCGGCAAAAAACAGGAGATATTTCCTGGAATCAAACAAACAAACCACCAAGTTTGAGTTTTAGTTTGAGCTAAAGCTCTCGGGGTCATATCAGATCAAAAATAAAATAGTTAATTATGTCATAAAGCTGAAAAGTGAGTCTTTGTGTTGAGCTGAAAGTTTGAAGACCGACGGTGGCCTACAATAAACGTACGAGGTGTGTTCAGAAAATATCGGGAATTTTCGTTTTTTGAAAAAAATATTTATTTATTCGTCTACATTAATGTTGTCGCCTTCAAAATAGTCCCCACTGGATATTATGCGCATGTGCCAGCTCTTCTTCCAATACTCGAAACACTTCTAAAACTCGATCTTTGGGATAGCCTTTAGTTCTATCAGCGATGCGCTTTTAATGTCATCTATGCTTGCAAAACGACGACCCTTTAAGGTTCTCTTTATTTTTGGAAATAGGAAAAAGTTTGACATAGGCATGTCTGGCGAATATGGAGGCTGGGGCATCCTTACAGTATTGTTTTTGGACAAAAATTGTATTCAAAATTTAACAATTTTGGAACAAATTTTGCTGCCACAGGTTTCATACCCAAAACATTCGAAAAAATTTCATGAGATGAGCCAATCTATATACTAACATCATCAGCGACTTCTATGATGGTTTATAACCATTTCTTTCACTTTTTCCATGTTTTTATCGGTTGTTAATGTGCTTGGGCGTTCGGGGCGTTCGTCATCTTTAACGTCTTAACGGCCATCTTGGAAACTCTTATACCACTTGTAAACTCTTTTCACATTTCACAGAATTTATTTCATTTTTTAAGCAAAATTGGATACAAATTTCTTTGATCCATTTCTTTTAACGAACGAAAATCACCGAGCTCATAAAACACGTCTAACATTAGCGGCTGCCACAGACAAAGTAAACGATGAAAACAGCATGTATACCAACATAATAAAGAAAATTTTATGACAACAGGACCTTCCGAACCCGCGAAATTTAACAATTCCCGTTATTTTCTGAACACACCTCGTACTTACAATTGAATCGGTAAGATTAAGAATAGTAGTCCAAAATTTCTATTTAGGAAAATCAATTTAAAAGTTTAAAATCCATTTTACAAAATATGGTCATTATATTTTATAAATATAAATAAATATTGACATAAAAATGCATGAACTATAAAACTGATTATATAAAATAATTTGTAAAAATATAAGCTTTTGAACTTGTACTGTTCTTACTTTCACCGATTCAGTTATAATAACTATTATTACAAGTATAAAGTGAGGTTAGATACAGCTATAGCTCAGAGCTGTTATAAGTTATATTTTTTTTAATTGGTCCTAAGGGTTTTTTACAGACAAGGATGTAAAAACTTTACCGGATTGGTATAAATTATTTTTACCGCCTAGGTTTTTTGTAAAATCGCTTTCATTAAAATAACACAGCATTACTGTTAAATAAACAAACACCGATTCTTTTGAAAAATATTTTAGGAATCTCTCTTCAATTCGCGAAATGCATAGAAGATTATGTGATTTGTATGGAACACATAATGGACCTACTGAGCTCGCTGTTTGTGTTGTGGATAAATTTTGTTGCCCACACACTCTACATAACGTAAATCCATAAAAGAAGACTCAATTAGTCACAAACATGTTTGTGCACTTGCAATAGCACTGTTTGGTTTATTTTCACGGTGATGTCATCATAGGTACTTTTTTTTTTAATCTGGACTACGTTACCAGACAATGATTAGTGATTATTTGATAATATAGACAAAATTAATCGGGAAGATTATCTTAACCAGGACGATTGTGGTTCAAGCAGGATGGCGCTACGTGTTATAATGTACTCGAGTACTTTTTGGGGGGTTGTCTTTGGTGTATGCTGATAAATGGCAAACTATTTAGTACTTGAAAGCCAATGCTCGATAGTGTGGTCCAAAATTCAACCTTCACGATGCACTTTGTGAAGGCATCGTTAAAAATAGTTAAATTAATTTTAATTTTAGTGTTATAATACACATATATTAACTTACCCTTCTTTGCAGGAGCATGTATCAGGAGCAATACACTCGCCATGAGGTCCGCATCCTGCTTTACAGACAGGACTACAAAATTGTCCTTTGGGATCGGACACATATCCACTATTGCAGGAGCATAATCCATTAGTAGAACACACCCCTTAAGCAAATTTAAACTGTATCAGATTACATTAATAAACAGTATATTGTATATTTTTGTCGTTTTTTTAGAACGAACATTATATTGCCAAAATTATTTTTTACCATTAAGACATCCTAGAGGACAAACAGGTATACATTTTCCCGTAGCATCCTTGACATGTCCTTTTCTACACACGCATACATTGGGAGCAGTGCAGTTTCCATTTTCACATCCATTTTCGCAAACTGGTTCGCAAATATGATGACTGTGTGGAACTCTTTCATATCCTGAACAACATATTTCTATTTTGCTGTAACCTTCCTTCGTCTAAAATAAAATGTGTAAAAAAACAGGATTAAAATAAATATTTCCATTTGACAAAAGTTGAATAAAAACATCTAGGAACATCCTCCTGTATATACGAGGTGTGTTCAGAAAATATCGGGAATTTTCGTTTTTTGAAACAAATACTTATTTATTCGTCTACATTAATGTTGTCGCCTTCAAAATAGTCCCCATTGGATATTATGCACATGTGCCAGTTCTTCTTCCAATACTCGAAACACTTCTAAAACTCGATATTTGGGATAGCCTTTAGTTCTTTCAGCGATGCGCTTTTAATGTCATCTATGCTTGCAAAACGACGGCCTTTTAAGGTTCTCTTTATGTTTGGGAATAGAAAAAAGTCAGACAGAGGCATGTCTGGAGAATATGGAGGCTGGGGCATCATTACAGTATTGTTTTTGGCCAAAAATTTTGTTCAAAATTTAACAATTATGGAACAAATTATGCTGCCACGCGTTTCATACCCAAAACATTCAAAAAAATGTCATGGGATGAGCCAATCGATATACCAACATCATCAGCGGCTTCTCTGATGGTTTATAACCAGTTCTTCCACTTTTTCCATGTTTTTATCGGTTGTTAATGTGCTTGTGCGTTCGGGGCGTTCGTCATCTTCAACGTCTTCACGGCCATCTTGGAAACTCTTATACCACTTGTAAACTCTTGTTTTACTTATAGCAGACTCACTATAGGCCTTTGTTAACATTTCACAGAATGTATTTCATTTTTTAAGCAAAATTGGATACAAATAAAATTAGCTAAAGTTTTTATCATACTTCGGGGGCATGTATACCAACATAATAAAGAATTTTATGACAACCGGACCCTCCGAACCCGCGAAATTTAACAATTTCCGTTATTTTCTGAACACACCTCGTACAAGTTGTAGCACTCCTTTTTAAAAGAAATATTATTTATTATTATTAATATATTTCGTATAGGTTTTCGTTTTTAAGTTTTTTTTTAAATATATTTTGAACACCTGAAGATATCGAGACGGCTTATTCTGCCATATTCTAAGACTAGATTATCTTCATGTTACCTTAATTTACCAACCTTTGCCTTACAGGGTGTATAGGAAAGAAACAATTGTTATAAAAATTGTTTTAATTTAAGTGGACTTACGCCATTTCCTTTTGGGATTGTTTTGCTTCTTTCTGGTAGACTTATGAGGTCAATGGTTCTGAGAAAAAAAAATAATATAAGAATAATTTATGGTAATAATTGTAGAGTATGGTAGGTATTTTATATTTAATTCAAGGTAAAATGATATCATTCTTTTCTTGAAAATTTGTTACATAAATACATTTGGTAAAAACATAAAATAAATGTACCTACCCAATAATAAGTATCAAAATAATATAAATTATGTTTTATAAGGTCATAAAAATTCTTTATTAACCGAAAAAGCTCTCTTTTTATGATTTTTATTTTTTGTATCCCTATATATCATCCTCATTTTCTTTATTATTTTAGGTTAATAAAACTCGTATAAAAACATTTATTGTCGTAAGCACAAAACTTTTATTTCGCGACAAAATTGGCCATAAGGATTATTAAATAATAAATTTTATTTAAAATATATTAATTTATTTTTCAAATAATTTAAACTCATTTGTACGTATAAAAAGTTTATTTGAATGTAAGTGTGAGTGTTTTAAGTTTTTAATACACAATAGGGGAACGACTTATCATTTAATTGACATCAAAATTTAAACTGACTTTATGGAGAGTTGTCCTTACTTCCGGTTATTACTATTCTTGTCATTTTGACAGGGAAAGCAAAGCTGACCATTACACATAAAATGAAGATGAAATTGTTAAAGGAAATTTTCAAATTAATCTTAAAAAAGAAGAAGAGGCTGATATTTTAAATGTAAAATAGTAGAAAATAATCATCAAAGAAAGGATAATAAAAAATGTAATTAAAAAAATTAAATTAATATTTGTAATGCCCTTTATTTTGGCGTCACGGAAAAGACAACATTTATTCTTCCTATAATAAAAATTCATAAAAAAATACAATCTAATTCGTATCATGTATGACAAGCATAATTGTATGCTTGATTAATATTCTTTAGAAATAATATTAATATATCTAATTTATAATAATTATAATTTTTTTGATAAAATTCCTATTTTGGCAAACTTTTTGAAAATTACACATGTGGCATTTCATTAAAAAAACCGACGGAAAATTTAATTCTTACACGACCATAATACACGGGGGACCCCTTGGAAATGATACGTCATTGACTACCTAACCTAACATTATATAACATTCGCCGGAACGACCAAAGATAAGCTTTGGGAGAAACTCAACGTTTCGAAAAAACGGTTTTTGACATTTTAAATTGATGACGCAATAAAACTTTTGCCGTTTCGACTATAAGTAATAAAGAGTTTATAAATTTACCTAAAACAGTTAAATTTTCAACAAGCGTATAATAAATCGAAAAGCAGTCGTCGTCCAATGAATGTCATTTGGGTGCACTTTTCGCCGCATTAAAATTTAAAACGCGACACAATTAAAATGAAATATGCCTTGGTGGGTGAAAACCGGGAGATATTTTAGCGTAGACAAATTGCTTCTTCCATTACCGAATGACACTAGTTGATGGGGGCTGATTAAATGTTACCGCAGTTCACTAAAAAATTGTACGTTTGTACTTAAAACCGCATTTTATTGCCATTATCGAATGAATAATAGTCAGGACTTTTCTATACTTTATTATTTGGTGCTACAGTGGTCAGACAAGCTTTTTGGTTAATTTACTTACAAAAAGTTTTTATCCTGTAAATTGATTGTTAGTTGTCAATTTTGCTTTATATAAAACTGTCCAAAAATACGTGAGAAAATAAACTTTCAAGTGCTATAGAATGTAATTTAGTAAAATCAAGAATACCTAAATAAAGTGTAAAACATTTTTTTCTACTCCCACCTTTAAAACGCCCTTAATCGTACATGTTTCCATGACACTAAGTGACCTTTTAAATACACATTGACAAGTTGTGGCTTTATGGCGCTTTAGTCACGGGCTGAAGTTAGCAACAGGTTTTTAGTCACGGGCTGAAGTTAGTTTTAAGTTATTTGACAGTTGTAAAATGTCATACAATCGTTAAAATAAAGTGCCTTTCTTGTAAAATAATACTAAATGTGAAAATTATTTTATTATCTCAATACAAAAGTATTAAATACTGACCTTTTAATTTCGCCGGCAGTAAACTATAACTTAAATTCGGGCACGGACTCCACTGTAAAGTGCTCATAAAACATTTTCTTTACTTTCACCGTGAAAAACTGTAAATACAGAATACAAGAAATACATTTCGATTTATAACCTTTATAATCTGTGTTTATAAAATATAAAAATTTGACATTTGTCTGTGACACACAGATTCCCCTATTGTTTCATAGATGGCGCTCTATACAAATTTTTGATATAAATCATTTTAAGATAATAATAAGTATTTTTCGTATATAAACTTTTTTATACACTCATTAATTTAAGAATGGCGTTTATCAAACTTGATACCTAATATACTATTATTTTAGAACCACAACTTGACAGTCAACGAAATGAAGTTATGACACAACAATCCGTCAAATAATAATTCTATAAGGATCATGGCGCTTCAGTAGTACTAAACCAAGATGGCACTTGTGCTAAATTTCCCCCACCCAAACCTATGCCTTGTCTATGCACATGTATCTCACCTTGAAATTTGATTTTAAACATAATAATGCACAAAGTTTTTTTACGTAAAACGATTCTACCGCAATGAAATTTAAATTCCAATGTTATTTGTTTGCTATTTCACATAAAACTTACTTTTAAAATTAAATTAATCTAGCAGCACGCGATCGTTAGGGAAAAAACAGTATTTAAAAAAAAACTATATCTTCTTAACGAAATGTTTTGTCCCTTAGCCGAAATGCAGACTGTCTACTTTTTGATAAAAAAATAAAAAATTCACGTTTTGAAAATTTAAATTAAAAAAAAATTGTGTTCTTTTAGTATTTTATCGTATAAAAATGATCACAATTTGTGTGGAAAGTGTCAAACAGTAAAAGCAATATAATTAATATTTTCTAATAGGTATTTACTATTTTTGAATTTTATTAGCCTCCTAAAAGTAATAACAGCATAAAATCAAAGATAAATTGCAAATTTCTTTCTTACATAAAGTTAAAAATGGTGTGAAAACGAATGCCTACTAAAAGCATATTTCCAATTACCTCAAAAAATCAAATTTTCTCAATTTATTCGATTTAAAATATAAAGTCACTCTGAAAGAGAGATTCTCTTAAATATTCGTGAGTGTATTTCGCAATATCGAAGTCATTGTAGTGGATCCAATCGAACGCGCTCCTTTGTGGAAATTCTTTTATTTAGTTCCAATCCGATAAATCTACATGCGAATAAAATATTGCTCTTTGAAAGGATAATGTAGGAATAGTTAGCTTAAATAAGGCAATAAGCTCGTTTTATACCTTAACAATGCCTATTAAAGATATTGATATTTTTATTTCGAAATTGGGATAATGCCTTTTAAAAATTCAAGAGACAGTTAAATTGACTTCAATTTGTAAAATCTGAATTTATTTTCAGTCAGTCAGTCAGTATTATTTTTATATTTTAAACAGTTAGGTATATGTCCCCGGATTAAGTTTACAAGATGGAATAATTTTTTAAATTTGGTTTTTCAAAGAAAAGTTATTCCCGATAAAAAGTTGATCGTTGAAAAAATAACCCTAACATAAAAAACAGAATTTTATTAACAAGCTATTAAAAAATTAGGAAAATATTGAGTTAAATATTCTGAAAATTTTTATGAGAAAAAGTTTGTAATAAAAAAAGTTTTGATTTTTTAAAGAAAAGTCAATATTGATAAAATGTTTTAATTGAAGGGGTAAGAAGCAAAAGGGTACAAGTGCATTTTATCATGAAAATAAGTTTAGTGCAGAATTGGGTAGTTTTGGTCCTTTTTTTTAATTTTCTTATAACGTAAAAATTGTACGAGTTCTGCATGAATAATGCAAACAACAATATTGAAACAAGTATATAGCAAAAACTAAAGCTAAAAGTTAATAACTAAACTTCCCATTTTTGAACTTGTACCCTTTTGCTTCCTACCCCTTCAATTGTCAAAAAAATAACATTCAAGTTGTAAAATTTAGTATTTTAACTATATGGTGTTTAAAATGTCGAATAGGTGTTAGTGGCCACCGCGGTTCATTATACCAAATTTCAGTTATTTGGCGCAGCAAGACAGAAAGTGCACTAAGATCTTCAAAAAAGATTGAACGAAATCTGTTTATTGATAAAAGGAGATGTTTAGTGAAAGGTTTGGAAAAAATCTGCTGACCACTAAACAAATTTATGAATTTGTCATTTTTGGTATATTTGGTTAAGTAGAGATCAGACTATACAATTTAAAAAAATCTATTAAAATTCCTTTAAATAAAAATCTTCTGGCCTATTAAGAAATAATATAATTTTGGAATGATACATTATTATTACATTTTATTTACTGAAATACCACTTTTATTTTTATTTCATACAGAATAATAAAATATTGAAGTATTTAAATGATGCATACGTAAATATGTTTATTTGGTAGTTTGTTTTGATAACTGAAGTATATATAGTTACATTTAAATATTTACCTACAAACACTAGTTTATTATACAGTTATGATGCATTAATTCAACACCATATATATAAATATTATTAATTTAATTCATAGCTTTTGATGTTAAAGTTATACTATTATTATACTAATTATCTTAATGTTTTTTTTCATAAAGTAATATTTATTTTTAAAATGTATACCATACAGCATGGTCCAAAAGAAAAAAAGTACATGTAAAAAATAAAACTATCTCTATAAAGCATAAATATAGCAACACTAACCGAAATTTTTAAAATATTGCAAGGTTTTCAGTGAGTTTTGCAGTTTAAAAAGTAATTTGAGCAAAATTAAATTGTAAAATATTGTTGAATTTTAATCTGGAAATTTTTGTTGTTCAATTATTTGGTATTAGAAACTGTTAATGTGTTTATAACAATATTAAATAATACAGTTTCTAAACACACTGAGTAAAAATTATAGTAGTAAAAAAAATATTATATATAATATAATTTTATAAAAAAATAAAAGTAAACTATAACTTTTAAAACTTTATACCGAATTCCACAATGCTGAATGCATTTGTTTTTGATTTCTCTATGCTGCATGCATACCTCTCGCTACTTTATGTCGCAAACATTTCTTTTAAAACCACAAAATTAAAAACTATTTTATTAAAAAAATATATATTTTTGAAAATTTGTTTTCTAAATAATTTATTATTGTTTTTATTAAAACTAGGTTAAAATTTCGCTTAAAAATATATACGCATCGCGGTGAATCAATAGATTAATTTTTTGTTTTTCATATTTTAGTTTATGAATAATGACCGCCATTAATTTACATTTATTTATAGGCCATCAATAATAAGAAGGGTTTTAATGTCGCTAAAATATATCGTTTTATATTTATTTGAATTTATTTTAATAATTATTGGGTGGCTTGGTTTATACCGACGAATCCATATAAAATCTACATTTTGTTAAATTAAATATGACAATAAATTTTAAAACAGGTACAAGTTTTTATTAAAAAAACAATACATAGTAAAAATGCAGTAAAGTAAATACATATATCAATGTGAATATTTTTGCTAAAAATGCGTTTTCAACTTTCACATTCGTTGATTTATATGTATTTTAAATTTATATTAACAATATTTAAAAGTATTTTTTTTAGTTCAAAAAATGTTAAACATTAAACATTTTTTAGTGCCAAATTGTTTTTTTAAAGAGGAACATGAAAATTAATTAATAATTTTAATTGAAAATTAATCAAAGCAGTGAAAATTTTATATTTTGTTAAAAATAAACACAATACTTTAATTGTTGATACCTAATTAATTGTCTTGTTGAGCTATAGATGATTTTTTTCTGCACTAAAAAAATATTTATACATTCGCCTTTGCGATTCCATGCATTTTGACCAAAATATTAATAAGTTTAATAATTTTAGTAGCTTATATATTATAAAATATACTACTGGATTTTGCAATCAAAATATGTAATTAAACACTTACGGAATTTCAGTGGTGCATACACCAACCCTTGATGAATTTGAGTTTTCACTGTGGTTTTTAAAGGAAACAGGGTGAAAAGTTTGCTGGGGCAAACCAAACCCAACATTGAACAAATAGAAAGCAATAATTAACACAGAACTTTTGATACAAGACATCATCTCAGGTTAATCTGATCACCACTGAATGTGAATAGAATGTTGTTATTAGTAAATGTTGATAGTTGGTTTACGAATTATTAACATTTATGCAAATTTAAGACAGTGCCGGATTGAGCTAGAAGATTTTTTTGTTTAAAGTGCAGTATATTTACAAAACTGTATGTTTTCAAGATAATATTTTTTATTTTTATTTTTACACTTTTTAGACCCTTTTGAATATTTGTTTGTATTTTTGGATCTTTTATTTAACAATCAACAACAAAACCTTGTACCAACATTTCTTAAGGTCGGCACTGTCCACCTTAGGCAACAAATTAATTAACAAATAAATGAATCATATTGTTTGAACACAAACTAAAATAGAAACAAAACTTTTAACACGTCTTTATCGATTTTATAAACTTCTGCCTGATTATAGCTAAATTTGCAAGGCAACGCAAATTGCTTTTAGTTCTCTAAACAATTTTAGCATTAGCATAATTATAAGATATAAAAGTAAAATGCAATGTAGCAAAGGTGAAGTACTTGCCGACTTAAATGCGGTTATAATGGATTAAATTATAATATTAATTTAAATTTTCAGCGTGTTTTCAGCGCTTATATCATCTTTGGGAAAAACAGAAGAGATGCTTATGCTGTGATATAGAATTCTTGTTGTAAAATCGTTTTATGAGATAGTTCAGGAAGATTATAGTAGATGGCGTTAATTGTCAGTGGGTAACACATACTTTCACACATATACCGCGTATTTGCTATATTTTGTATATATGACCTTGTTTTCTTTTTCGAGGGGAAATTTGTCCATTTGCGGTATCATTTTACCTTATGCGCATAGTCACTTCATAAGTCGGGGATATAAAATATATGATCACATAGACATATTAATACGTCCACTTATGATACGAATTATCAACTAAATAAATTGAGGTTATTTCAATTTTTTAATGAGTTGCTTACATCGCCTAGGTTAAGCTTAAATAAATTTCTGTGGTTTGGCTTTAAAACAATGAAAAAAAGCAATGCCAAAACAATTGGTATACAACAGAAAACCAACAAAATGAATAATTATAAGAAACATCTACATATTAATATGTCTTTGATAAAAACCTTTTGGCAATCATGGTCGAAATACGACGTTGCCAAATTCTTGATGTTATAAACATGCCATTATAAAATCTGTGTTTATTATTGTTAAATGCTTTTTTTGTACAACTTACATACAATTAATTAAAAAGTTTCCCAAATAGTGAAAAAATATGGTATTTTTTTAAACCAGCAATGATAATAATAAATATAATAATAATAATTAATAAAACTCAAAAAAATGTTTTTTGATGTCCCGCCCTGACTTTTTTTTAAATGACCGGGCACTGTGCTGGGACTTTATACTGAAATCTTTATATGAAATTTCATGCGATTCTAAAGAACCCAAAAAACACTAAAACAAGTATTTAAAGAATAAAAAGAAAACAAGACAACACTATATAGGTATATGATCCTCCAAAAAGACTTTAAACATCTAGACATACCTTAAGATTAAAGTATTGCAAAGTTTTAAATGTTACTACCTGCACATATTAATACCATAGATTATTATTCAGGTAGTACACAAGTTTATTTAGAAAAATTATTTTAAATTAACTGCAAAAAGGTCTTTACGTTGTTCAGTATTTGAAACATTTATATAAACTTACTAACTAAGTTAGTTAAACTAACTAACTAAAGACCGGAATTTCGTGTAGTGTAAATAAAAAAACTTACAAAAAAGTCCCAGCACAATGCCACATGGGTCATTTTAAAAAAGTCAGGGTCGGACCTCAAAAACAGAGTTTTTTAAACAAAATACCCAAAATATATTTTTTCTAAAGTTTAAGGGTTCTGAAAGGGCATAAAAACTTCTACCAAATGGCTAATAAAATTCAGCGGTACCATCAACGAGTTCCAAAAAATAATAACTGAAACGTTTTCTAGATTTTCATTTTTCTTCGACTAAATATTTCCATAGTTTAGCAAGGTAATAGATTTAAAATCATCAGTTAAGATATTTTTGCATTTCAAGAAATTGTCCGCTTATTCAATAGAACCGTACTCATTTGTTTTATGTAGGTATATTAAAAAAATACCTGCACAAGTAAACAAAATATGTTATTCTTAATAAAACACAATTAAAGAATAAAAAGAAAACAAGACAACACTGTTATCCTCCATAGTATATACTTACTTTCTGGGCCCTTACAGCACTTTGAATTGTATTTTAATCTTTACCCCTGTAAACAGGGTCCTTGCCGTATGCAATTTAAGGAGGGAATATCAAAATATAATTTAAACAAGCCAGATATTGCCTAAAAATGATTCTTAATAGTTTGTTCTGTGTCCTTTTTAATGTTCAATCCACGAAGACTAGCGACATGACAAACTTCCTATGTTTAACGCGTATTTTTATGAGACAAAATACGTCGACACACACAATATTAAGATTGTAATACAAAATACTATTTTTTATTATACAATTTTAGTAAAGATTACAACACCAATATTACTAAATCATAAATGTATAATATATATTTTAATTTTTAATATGTTCGTATAGTATCTACAAATAGTAATATTTACTATATGATTTAATCAAATGTAAGGTGTACATCTAATATTATAATATATTACACTGTGTAATTACAGTAATTTACACAATAATAAATAATATAATAAAAATAAAGATATTTTTATGTTTAAGGTACCTAAATGTAAAAAAACAATATATTTAAATATAATATACAATATAGTAACTCATGACATTTTAAACATTCAATTTTCTTAGTTTCGAATTTCGAAAAACTGGTTACTTTAAAAGCAAATAAGTTTTAGTTTTTTTACCACGATAGTTAAAATTTAAAGTTGTATTTGAGTTATTATTTTTGCGAAGCAAAGCAAGGATGTTTTTTAGTTTGTTTCATTTGTTTATGTTATTTTTAAGTTATGTTTATGTTAAAGTCATTTGTTTATGTTCATCATATTATTAATAAAAAACTTAAAAAAAAAATTTTTTGTTTCATTATTCGGATATACCGCCTAAAAATAAAAAATAGGTACTTAAATTATGTTTTAAAGTATTTGTACTTAAATATCATTTCAAGTACGCAAGTTTAAGTAAATACTTAAACTTGACTATGATTTTTGTAAAATTTGGTACTTGTACTTAAATTTTGGTAATTCAAGTAAATTTACTTGATGTTTTAATTATTTCCTTTTTTACTTAAACTTGTACTGGTACTTGATTCGTATTAAAAAAAAAACTTGTACTTAATACTTAAGTACTTTTTCTTGGTACTTACAACAGCACTGTGTAATTTACACATTAATAAATAATATAATAAAAATAAAGATATTTTTATGTTTAAGGTAAATAAACAATATATTTAAATATAATATACAATATAGTATCTCATGACATTTTAAACATTCAATTTTCTTAGTTTCTTCAATAAACTTTCTTGACTGGTAATACTTATAAGAAAGAATTGAACCTACTTGGTTGCATAGTATGTACCGATTGCGGCAAAGGCCACGTCGCGACGCGTCGTTAGACGGTGTGGATCACGTGATGTTCATACATCTCGCCTCTGTTGGCTTACCAACCATGTTATATAAGCTCAGGTATTTCTTTGTTTTGGGTGTGTTCCACTACTACAAGTTGCTCGACAGTGGCGTGTTGACACTGATGATACCCAATATAGGTCAAAACACCTGTCTGTCGGTATTTGAAGTTGATGGTGATGCACTCAAAACAAAAAACTTTGGCGAGGTGTAGGTTCAATTCATTCTCATAACATTTTTGTATATTAAAAAGTACAATAAGTATGTTACAATTTTTAATTGTTAACATATAAAAATATTCGATTTTAAAATATTTTATATTTAAAATGGCAACATAATATTTTAAAATATTCTTTACTTATTAGTAATGGAAAAAATCTAATTATAATAAGAATTAAAAACAAAATTGGTTGAGAATAATAATATTTTACCTTAAGGTTTAACATACATGGATATTTAAAAATTACTAAATATGCATAGTATCTGGCAATCTCAAATAGTAATATAAATTATAGTAAAGGGTATTATAATTATGGTAATCAGCATTATACTTTTCTCTCCGTGCAGAACAAATACAAACTGCATTGCGAACAAACCAAATTTGATTAGGGCCAATCTCAATCAAGTAGGAGGTATGACGTTTTTCATGTGTTTGAAATGAAATCGTCCATGGCGCCATGTGGTGGGGCCCCAGCTTAAGAATAGGCCCCTTTAACAACACCATAATACATAATATTTTTCAGCTAGATATTCTATAGAAAAACTTAAAATATAATCTATATATATATATCCGAGTTTTTATTCTTAAAATTTAGCATCTTGGAAAAAATTTCAGCATTTCCAGATTTTATTGCTACATGTATAATTGTCTTACTTAATTTTTTTATTTTAAATATGTCATCAAGACATGCGCCTTAATTGTTTGCATGCTAAAAAGGGTTAAACTTACAGAAAATGTTAAACTGTTTAAATAAAACTATTTTTTTTAATATTCTACATTTATTTATTCCAATACATTTATTTATTCCAATACATTTATTTATTCCAATACATTATATTTAAAATACATTTTACTAGATGTGAATTCTGGGATCCAATCTGTTCAATCTGTGGACGATGAAAAAATTTTCTATTCTCATCAGGATGTCACGTACATTGAGTACTAAAATAATCAGTAGATGAAGAACACTCCAAGAGGGAAACATAGGATTTAAAAGGTCATGCATATCCAATGGATATTATCCATGTTGTTCCTGAAAATAAATAATAATTTGTATTAAAAAAATAAAAAGACTTTAAACAACTAGACGTACCTTAATATTGCGTTAAGACTATAAGTAATTGTTGATGAGTTCAATTTACGTACATAAATAAAAATAAAATATATTATAGGTGCTTATATTAAAAGACTTTAAACCTAGACATACCTACTTTAAGATTAAAGTATTGTAAAGTTTTA